TGTGTCTATTTGCCGTTCGAATATCTTCCTCTGTGAAACTTCTTTGTGTTTCTTTTGCCCATTTTGTAATTGGATTATAAGTCTTTTTTTGTTTGTTTTTGAAGCCCAGGAGTATTCCGTAAACTTTTGTTATAAGGCTCTTGTCTCAGATGGTATTACCAAATGTTCATTCCCAGTCTGTAGGTTTTTTGTTTTTTGGTGGTTTTTTCCCCCACCACGTTGAAAAACTTTCTGATGTGCACAGGAATTTAATTGGTAGGAGGTTCCATGCATCAATTTTATCCTTTTTAGATTCTAATGTAACAAAATAAGAACCCAGAAATAGACCCAACTATCTATGGTCAACTTACATTCGACAAGGAAATAAAAACTATCAAAGGGGGAAATGATAACCTCTTCAACAAATGGTGCTGGCAAACTGGACTTCCACCTGCAAATAAAAAAAATCAACTCAAGGTGGATCAGAGACCTGGGAGTAAAGCCCAAAACCATAACGTTCATAAGAGACAAACTAGGATCAAGCTTAGAAATGCTAGTCCAAGGTATAAAGAGACTGCCAAATACAACCAGAAATGCACAATCATAATTATAATATATACTTTGTAAATACAGTTGTTTCCATTTTGCTGGTATTATAAATCAAGCTCTTAAACCCTGACTTTTTAGGGCATCCATTTACATTTTGCAGAGTAAGACGTTAGTAATTTTGAAGCCATAAAATAATGTGCATTTCAGTTTTTATGAAGCTGCAAGGTAGCTTTCTAACATGATTGTGCACTTGTACACTCCACCAGCAATAGATGACAGTTTAAACTGTCCCACATGGTGGTCGGCCCTTCTACTATTAGTAGATTTAAGAGGATGGAAAATTTTCTCTCATGTGGTTTTTAATTTCCTTTATGAGTAATTATCTCAAGTACCTTTCATATATGTTTACATAATTGAAATATCTTCATTTGTGTCTTTTCATCATTGCTTGGTAAAGGATTTTAGAACATTTTAATATATTAATTTTTCAAATACATGTATTATAAATTATTTCTCCTAAAAATTACTTTCCTTTGAAAAGTTTTAACCATGTCTATTGATGAGCTAGGGTTTTAATTTGATGAAGTCTAATTTATCAAGTGTTTTAAAAGCCTCTGGCAATTCTTTGCCAATCTCAGTTTCTGAAGTGCTTTCTTATGTTTTCTTTTAGTGTGAAATTATATTCTCATTTAATAATCCATTCATATTTTATAACATTAATGACAATAAGCAAAATATAACAGCACTTTGTCCACTTTCCCCCCATTTCTCATCTCCATTAATCCTTCTGTCCTGCTGCTTCAGCCTTCTGAGTTTTATCCCTGGGAAAATACTTCTTTTTTTACCTAACCTTGTTCCAAGGAGTGAATGACTTCCTGGTTTTATTGGTCAACCTATATATGGTTGTTTGGCAAAGGAACATTGCACAGTTTAATATCAAGAAAGGTGCACCTCAGGACTATACCCTCTCTCCACGTGTGTAAACTGAAAAAATATCACTTGAGAAGCTGGACTTCATGAGGAATGATGTGGCATCAGGACAAGAACTCGTCAACAACCCGTACTGTGCAGATGACACAACCTTCTTGCTAAAAGTGCGGAGGACACAAAACACTTGTTGCAGAAGATCAAAGACTATAGCTTTCAATATGTCTTACTTGGATCCACAGTGAACACTCTTGGTACCAATAGTCAAGAGATCAAAAGACAAGTTGCATTGGGGAAATCTGCTGTTAAGGACCTCTCTAGAGTGCTAAAGAGCAATAATGTCCATCTGGAGAATAAGGTGCACCTAATTCAAGCCGTGATTTTCTCAATGGATTGCTATGCATCTGAAAGTTGAACAATGACTACGGATGACAGAAGAAAAATTCATGTCTTTGAGATGTGGTACTAGAGAAGACTTGTGAATATCCCAAGGACTGCCAAGAGATGAAAGAGGTCTAGCTTGGAGAAAGTGAAACTAGGGTGCTCAAGGGAGGCAAAGAGGGTGAAGCTATGTCTTATGTCCTTTGGGCATGCTGCTAGAAGGATCCAGTCCTCGGAGAAGGACATCAGACCTGGAGAGATGGAGGTTCTGCATAACACTGGAAAGCTCACAACAAGGTGGATTAACATGGTGGCTGTAACAATGGGCTCGAGTGTGTTGAAGCTGGTGAGAGTGGCACAGGATAGCGCAGGGTTCAGACCTGCAGTTCCTAGTGTTGCTGTGTGGCAGTCGACTCCATGGCCAACAACAACATATGCTTTCTATTGCTTGCCTGACAGCTGAGTCATGGGGACGAGCCTTGTTCCAGATTTGAAGGGGACCCTCCAGTTTCTATTAGACCAGTACACCTGGCCTTTGCTGGTTTCGAGTTCTATTCCACATCCCCCCGCCCTCTGTGTCCAGCCTCTTCTACCATCATCCTTTTGCAGTGGTGAGCGCTAGCAGTCAGCACTGCCTTGTTCTTCTGGTCTCAGGGTCACAGATGTTCTATGGACTAATTGTTGACCTCTTTCTTTGTGTGTATCCTTATTTACATCTTCTTCTACATCTCTCCTTTACCCCCTCCTGTAAGAGACGTGCTGATACTTTCTTCTAGAAGCTTTTTAGCTTTATCTTTTGGACTTCTATATAAAATCTGTCTTGTAGCAATGCTTGTTTTGGGTGTGACGTTGAGACTGAGGTATTTTCCATATTTATTAATGTGATCTGATATCATAAATTGATAGCATTCTTCTTTTCCTCATTTGGTGCCACCTCTCCAAATATAGCCTCAGAGCCTCCTAAACCGTAGAGGATGTGCTTCTGTTTGCCTGACCACACGGTGGTGGTTCTCCTGGGGACCTGCCTGATGACAGGGACTTGGAGTGCTGTTTCAGCACACAGACGCCCCCTCCACTGGTCTCCACTCTACACCAGGTGGATACAGCACTGGGCAATTCTTCTACTTCAAGAAAGAAGAAAGCCTTTGTCTTCCGTTTGTCCCCTCATGCACGTCTTACCCGCCTGCAGTCGGTTGTTGATAAGCCATTCTATTTGATAGCCTTTCTATACTTAAGTAAGATGACTTGGCTTTCCATGTAAAAATGAGCAAACTGGCTTCATTTTCTTGTGTTCTAAAATCTTCAAGGAGCCCTGCTGTTGTTGTTGTGAACTGTCATGTCGGAACCAACCCATAGCAGACCCTCCAGTGGTGGTGTAGTAAAGACCAGCGGCTCTGCAGGAAAAGACTAGCAGTGTCCTCCTGTGAAGATTACGTCTTTGAAAACCTAAACCCCTGATTTGATGCAGTGGGTGTGGGGTTTGTCATCTTGAACTCCTTGTATATTGTTGGCATTACAGTCCAGCTGTCTAGACTCACAGAGAGCCAGGGACAGGGTTGGGCTGCCCCACAGGGATTCCAAGGCTGTGCGTTTTATAGAAACAGGTCACCCAGTTCCCCTAGAAGCAGCTCTTGGATTGGAACCATCAGTCTTCCAGTTCACAGCAGTGCTTTGTTGCTGCACCACGAGCACTCATGACACCTCTCTCTTTGTATTCCATAAATGGATCGTTGGTAACTTAGACGAGCTAACGGCACAGTGTGGAGCATTTGAACTGCCTGAAGATTGATGCTTATTCAAGGAAATGCTTCTCTAAAGACTGAATGTTGAGTGAAGCCTGAAGTCTCTGCTCACTGTTATTTTATTTTATGGGGTCTTTTTCTAGCAGATGTTGCATCTCTGTTTGCTACTCTATTTTAAATACTTTCTTTTTGTATTCAATATTCATGAAACCCATCTTTTCTTCTTGTCTCTAATAAGAGTAACATCTGTTTCTTCTTGTTCAATCATAGCCGCCACCTCAAGAGCCTTACTTTAAAAATAATGCCATTAGGAGGCACGCTGGGTGGAATGTGCCTCATTAACATCTCAGATCTGCATTCCAGATGAGGTTTGCTGACAATTATAAGCCAGGGAATGCTAGATGGAACCTATTTCATTATCTTATGGGGGAAAATCAAGAGCAGGATCTAGAAAACGGTTTCAAAGATACCTGTTTTAGGTGGGAAAACTCTTGGCAAAAATAGCAGTTTCCTTTTTCAATGTGCAGGTGTAAAGTGTCCACTGTTGTGAATTGTTGAATAACCAGAGATCCTTAGTATCAAGGAACCCAAGTGTCAGACTAGATTAGATTGGTGCATTTGGTATATGTTGGCACAGTCGTTGTTTGGTTTTGAAGCTCTGTGTTTATATCTGGTTATGTTTATATCCATTTCCTTCAAGTTGGTCACAGGAAAAGGCCTGGCCTGGAATGGGACGTGCTTGTTGGTGATACTTCACTGACAGAGCCTGGCCAGCGACCAGTGAAATGTTTGGAGGAGAAGACACTGTGCACCTGCCAGGGGAGAAGGCCATTCAGTGACCCTTCCAGCCCCACCTCCTCCCTCTCCTGTCAGGCTTCAGGGGAGGGGTTCAGTGTTTGTGCATAAAGAAAGTCAATTCTATCTACAAAGACAAATCCAGCAACATTGTTAACGCACAGTTCGTAGACGACCGTCACAGAGCCCCGCTGATTGCCACCATCCTCAGGAACTCGCCACCTTCAGCTTCGTCTCCACCTCAGCCAGTCACGTCTGAGTTTTGGCATCACTGTTGTTATATTCCACAGAAAATTGCACTTTGAATCCAAAGGCCACGGTTCGCATCCGTCACCTGCTCCGTGGGGGAAATATGCACAGTCACTCCCAAGCAGTTTGCAGCCCCAAAACCCGTAGAGGGGCAGCTCTGAGTTTGTTCCAATTACTCATCAATGAGCCTTAATAATGCTCTTATGTAGATATTTTCTTAAAATAATGAGTTGTTCAAGTCATACATTCCTTATTAGTTAAATCGCCATTTAGTTTACAGATGGCTCCAGGAGACAATCTTGTTTGTTACTGTAGACATGGATTTGAGCTCAACAATCATTAAGAAAAGCTCCCATTTTCTTTTCTTTTGTCCCACAGGTTCTGGGCTGAACAATGGACAGTGGCATGAAGTCCGTTTCCTGGCCAAGGAGAACTTCGCCCTGCTCACCATCGACGGGGACGAGGCTTCAGCTGTCCGGACCAACAGTCCGCTCCAGGTGAAGACGGGCAACAAGTACTTCTTTGGAGGTAAGCAAGCCATGTTTGGGGATCCTTGGGCAGAGGAGAGTTGCCAGGAGGCCTGGCCGATGGAGAGCCTGAGGGTTGAGGACAGTGGGAGATGAGCAGGCATCCCAGCACGTGTGACAGACCGTTGCTGCAAAACCAGACCGCTTCTTCTCACTTTGAGAAAGGAAGTGCATCAGAAAAGTGCCTTTTGTTGCATTTAATGGTTTGTTGACGTCTAAGATATGTCTTTACTGAATACGTCTTCCATTTAGTCGTCTTTCCCCCTCTAAGTCATGCAGTGTGAGACCCGAACAAACATCTCACCCCTGTGAAGACCTTATTTAAGCTTTGTAAGTTATCTAGATATGCATTTTTTATTTAATTTTATATTGGTTTGCATACAAAAGCCCTATACATTGTGTTTTGTTTACGTAAATTGTGTTTCATGCATTCCTCCATTCACACATTTTCACGTTATCATTCCCATACGTTGTGTTTTATAAAATTAATCACTAATGATCCATGCCCATCACCATACCACCTCTTCAGGTCCCAACTAAACCTTTCCTAATTCCTCCACTCCCTTGCTCAGCCCACCTCAAGATTTCACCCCTCCCACTTTCAGCCCCCCATCCCCGCCCCCAGACTCCTCCTCCCTCCCTTCCCACTTTGGACTTTGGTACGCATCTTACTAGTAATCCCTCTATTTTTACAATAATGTTCTTATGCAGTATTTGTCCTTATGAGACTGAGTTAGTTCACTCATCTTAATGCTTTCCAATCTCTCCTGTGTCAGATAGTATTTTTCAATATCAGTGTTTCTGTGTGCTGCATAGTATTCCATTGTGTGAATGTATCACAATTTTAAACCCATTCATTTATTAATTGGCGTTTTGGCTGTTTCCATTTTCTTGCTGTTGTGACTAAGCTGCTATGAACATTGTCTGTAAATCTCTATGTATTGATTCTATTTTCCTTAAGGTATCCCCTGCTTTCTAACAGGTTGATATCTATGGATTTTATTTTCCTTTAATTTTTGTTTTACTTTATTAAAATTCTGGGTTTATTTCACATGTATATTTTTGTTTCCCCACCATTTCCATTTGTCTGACCACTGCTACTATTTGTCCTGTCATAACATTCCATACATACTTAAAACCAAAGCAAAGGGTGGAGTTGCATCTTTGAAAACTAAACAGGCATTTTGGACAACACATTCTTGGCAGAGAAACCTGGACAACATTTATCAGACACGGTAGGGAATGTTCTCACTCAGCATTATAAAAAAGGACAGCCAGATATCAACTATTACAGAAATGAAATAAGATGGAAAATTTTAACAAACTGTTTTAACAAACTATTTTCTTAAAGAGACTTCCTCCACTGCCAGAGATCTTGAATAGCCTCCTGGTCTGTCATCCGGAAGCAATTCTTCACATAATTGATGAATGTGGCTTCCACTTTGGGAAGAGAACCACCTTTTTCTATACTTGCTTCCATTTTTGTTTTAATGTCTTCTACAGAAGTAGGTCCTTTTGGAGTTTTGGGAGTTTTTTCCTGTTTTTTGAAAGATTCTTGTCCTTTCGATCGTGGA